CCTCTTCACCGTCCCAACACCCCAAACCAATCTACACCTATCACAAAAAAGATTGATCGAATATGGAAAACTTATTGGAGATTGACTCAATTTAAAAGAGTGGCCGCTATTTTCTGCACCATTGTGAGTTTAAGGAAGGTGGAAGATGAATAATATGCTCGCACACATGCCACGATGCTCACGGGCTGAAATAACCAGGCCATGACATACATTTTCTGCTCGCAGGGTGTAGCTATTTTCATATTTGTATCTTAGCCTTTAGGACATATATGGCCCGACATATATATATATACATATATATATATATATATATATATATATATATACATATATATATATATAGGGAGAGTATATTCAGCAGCCAGCTACAAAATAAGTTATTCCGTAGCCACCTCCATTTACGATAATTTTATATACTAATTTACGATAATGTCAATACATATTTACGATAGTTGGGTTACTATAACACATAGGGATATTTATCATAACGTTACAGTAAACCACTTAGTAAAGAGTTACTATAATCTCGTAAATTAACATAGTAATTATCGTAACTCAAAGTGGCTACAGAATAAATTATTTTGTAGCCAGCTACATGGTAGTAGTTCTCTCTCTCTCACACATATATATATATATATATATATAAAGCTTGTGATCATGCTAGACCATCTGTGGTAGAATGATTGGCAACTATGCAAGTATATGTGGTTAAACTTATTTTATATAATAGTCTGATTCTATTATAACAATATACTAAAAAAATATGGGCTCCTTCAAAAAAAAAATCAATTCGTGTAGTAAGATTTTGAGTATATCTTAAAATGAGTATATAAAAATACTCGATAATGAGTTTATATAGCAAAATCCTCACATTTCATACATTGATAGTACATGCACAACAATCTGGGTCGCTTCTCCAAATTAACATGCCGACAAGAGATACATGTGGACAGGTGTAATATCGAACGCATCATGTGCGCACCTTGAAATTCTTTAACGAGCCCTTGTTTAGTTCGTAAAATTTGGATTTTAGGGTTATTATAGCATCTTCGTTTTTATTTGGTAAATAGTGTTCAAACATGGATTAATTAAGCTTAAAACGTTCGTCTCATAATTTTCCACCAAACTGTGTAATTAGTTTTTCCTTTCGTCTACATTTAATGCTCCATGCATGGGCCGCAAACATTCGATGTGACAGTTACTATAATAACTTTTTGAAAGTTAGAGTGAAACTAAACAAGGCGTGAGTTCCACAATTTTGGAATCTAGATGCACACACCTGACCTGAATAGATATAAGTATGATTGATCGATATTGATTGATTGATTGATTGATTGATGTGGATATCCGATGGATTATGACGCTGTCGATGCAGGTACAGGGAACTGAAAGCTGCTAGGTCCTGACTGAATTTTTGCACTGGTATTCTAAGTTGTCCTAAAAATTTTCACGCCAAGTATTACGTCGAATCTCGTGGCACATGTATGGAGTACTAAATATAGAAGAAAAAAAACTAATTATACAGTTAGGTGAGAAATCGCGAGACGGAACTTTTAAAACTAATTAGTCTATAATTAGACACTAATTATCAAATATAAACAAAAGTGCTACAGTAGCCGAGTAAAAAAAATTGCCAACTAAACGCCTTAGGGACGCAAAATGCTGGCTGGCTGGCCTTAATTTAGGCATCCCGGCCCGGCCGAAGAAAAGATGCAAGGACCAATGGCATGCGTGAACGGTTGGGCATAGCTTAGGGTTGTTTGATACAGATGATGACTAAAGTTTAGTCCTCTTAATTGACATCTAAATATTCGATGTGAAAAAATTCGATGTGACATGACTAAACTTTATTCAATATCAATATTGTACCTAGATTATGTACCTATGTGTATATATATTGAAATTCATACTGTATTTCGTAAAGAAACTAAGATATAATATTATCTCTCTCTATATAATACAATACTACATCGGTCTTAAAATAGATGACTTTATAGGTCTGGTCAAGAAATTTTTTGAGGAAACCAAAAAAATATATGGTGCACAAAAAACAACAAGAGAGATACAAAAGACGAAGATAAAGATGTATTAGGACAAAAAAGAAAGATGTACTAAAAATAAAAATATATTAGAATACTATAAGACTAAATATTTAGGATAAAATTTGAATAATATATGTTCTATCTATTTCAGGATAGAGGATGTATCGAAATGCATCACCAGGGTCGCTATACACTGCAAAAGGTGCACGTCAATCACGTACAGTGCGGTGATACGTCGTGTGATTGATTCTTCGGCATCGTTCGGCTGCGGATCCGTTTATTTTTTATCCAGAACAGTATTTTTCTTAAAAAACAGCTGTGAACGGTGACTTTTTTTCGGTAGCAGACGAACGCGGCCGAATCAATCACACGGCACTGTTGTAGCGTATCACCACACTGTACGTGATTGACGTGCAAATCTATCCACCTTTTGCCTTTAGCTCTCCGATCTGCATCAGTGGATTTGCTTAGCTCTCCGATCCGGCCGGCAGGACGATCGAATTCAAAGTCGCCGATCGGTTCATCGCACGTCAAATCAAAAAGGAATTGAAATTGAAATCCATAGGATTTATCTACTAGTGCTACAGTCCCTTCGTCCTTTTTAGCTGTCGTTACAAAAAAAACATGTCGACTTTAACTAAATTTATAAAAATATTAATAATATTTATATCTTTAAATACATTTATTATACAAATAAAATTAACAATCTATCTAATAGTGCTAATTATATATTATAAATACTAATATTTTTATATATATTTGGTCAAAATTAAGTATATTTAATTTCTCGAGAACCATAGATAAAAAGGACGAGGTGAGTGCTAGCTAATAATAATGCAAGCATTATCATCCGGAGCTCCCTTGTTCACAGCCTCTAGTTATTAGCTAGGTAGCGCTGTGATTTTGTATCTTATCTAGATCAACAAAAGCTACTCTCTATTTTAAATTATAAATTGTTTTAGTTTTTCTAAATACATAGTTTTTCTATGTCGAGGGGTGCCGGATCAACCACACACCAACAGGATTATATCACTACTACCACTTCGAGCCTCGGGTCTCGGTTCCAAGCCCCAATCTTTTGGTTGTCCCTCTCTCTCTAGTTCTACAAATCGTACTAGTTTTTGAAAATAAAATATTATAAATTTGTTGAACTGGAACCACAATTTACGCCCTTATGGATTTTGGTGACATGGGCGTTTAAAGACCGAAATAGAATTTGCTAAGCCTTGAGCAGAACTGATTTAAAGTGAGATGATGAAAAGTCAAATTCATTTCGAATTTTCGATTCATGGAGTGCAATAAAGATGCATCTCAAACTAAAAATGTTTAATTCTAGATATTGAGATATAATATAAGGATGCTAACACTTTTAAAGCATCTATAATTTTCAAATGTATGGTTTTGTATACCCTATCCCGCCACATTCACCCAAATACTCATGCTTGTACACAAGTTCATTTGTTGCTTGTACACAAGTTCATTTGTCTGCGAGCAGCACACGACCTCCTATCTCTAGCTCCATCTCCTGATACTTCGAGACAGCATTGAGCTCATGCATTGTGCATGCATGCTCGTCATCCGACCTCACCCACATCCTCAATCTCTCTCACTTTCGTCTCCTATAGTTAACTCAACAACTAAAAGACTGAGTAGGCAACCAGAGGAGGTAATGATGAGTGATTGTCAACATAATTATGTTTCGGCTAGTCCTTGACAAATAATGGGAAACCAAACAAAGATTTTTTTTTTTGAAAAGAAACATTTAATCTGGACATTCCTGGGCCTTGCTGATTTGTAGTGGGCCATACCACGGAAAAGGCCTGATCCTAGTAAACACGCAACTGGGCTGAACCACATTCCATTCATGTTTTTTTGAGAGCCCAGCTCGGTCCATGGCAAATCGCATCAATTGCAGATTATTTCTTTTTTGTTAAAAAAAGAATCAAAATCAATTGCTTTGCGTGCGGACCTTTGCATGATCCGGTGTGAGAGAAAAATACTGTTTGTTAACTAAAAAAATACGGTTTATAAATTAAATAAGTCCAAGCGAAGACGATTTGTAAAAGTAGGACTCGAAACATCGGTCATTTATAGATTTGATATTGGACTCACATTAATGGACACATACTTACTCTGGCCTTGTTTAGATTGTAAATTTTTACAATCCGGACACTGTAGCACGTTTCGTTTGTATTTGACAAACTTTGTCCGATCATGGACTAACTAGGCTTAAAAGATTCGTCTCGTGATTTACAACCAAACTGTGCAATTAATTATTTTTTTACCTACATTTAATACTTCATACATGTGTCCAAAAATTGATGTGACGGAGAGAGAGTGAAAAAACTTAGAATCTAAAGATATGATTTGGTGTGGCCACGGCGCGGCCTCAGGGTGGCCACGTCGCCGGCTTTTCGCGGCCGTTCGATCGGCCGCGCGGACGGCCCAGATCGGGCGAGCATGATGCGTTTTTACTTAAAAACCCTTTAAGTTTTCTAAATCAACCCACGCTCCAGACGCCCTCTCAGAATTTTTTTTAAAAAATGCCTCGTATTATTTTCAAATCAACGCTCAGTCCAGACCGGATAGGCACTGGTTTGTTTACAAAAAAGACCTCCACTTTAGCGAAAATCAACTCGCGCTCCCCAGACACTCTTGTCGTTTTTTACGAAAACATCCTTAGATTTTTCTCAAATAGAAATACAACCCAACTTTAATTATATCTTTTTTTCCTCAAAAAAAAAATACGTGTGGCCAGTGGACCGCGTGTATGGGCGCGTCCGAAAAACTAGTTTTGATGGGATCTAAACCAGGCCTCGGTCATCCACCGAGTGTCGTCCTAGTCGAGGAGTCAGTGTTTCGAGCGTCATTTTTGTAAATTTTTCCAAGCGAACGGTGTTGGTCGGAACCCAAATCGAGGGTTTGCCAAGCGAGATCGCCGCCGGTGACAGGGACGAGATGGACGCCGGCGGGGGCGGCGTCTTGGCCGCCGTGCTCTGCATGCTGCTAGTCTTCGCCATCTTCCCCCTCCTCCTCTGGCGCCGTCGCTCTGATGCCGCCGCCGATAACCACCGCGTTCCGCCCCAGCCCCTCCAGGAGGATCAGGTGCTGCACGGTCGCGCGGCGGCGCGACGGATGCGTCGGAGGCCTGGGGCTGCCGGAGCAGGCTCCTCCTCTGCCGCGTCAACCAGCCGCAATGGTACCACAACAGGCAAAGCTCACCCCCCCCTCCTTTTTTTTCCCTGTTCGCCCTAACCCTAGCCCCGGTCCTGGGCTGTGCAGTTGTAGAGGACGACGCGGAGAGTGATGAGGAGGAGGTCCCCGAAGGTCGCAACGTCCCCAGATCCTCCAAAAAGGAGAAGAAGAGGCAAGAGCGAGAGGCGCAGCGTCAGGTTGGTTACTCACTGCAACGCCAAGTCCTGCCATATGTTTCAGCCAGTGCTTACACTTGCAAGCTTGCTGGTAAATTGTGTTCCGATGATTGCTGCCATTCCCTGGTGCAATTTCAGCTGCACGAGCAGATTTAGTTCGTCTACTGTATGTATTTCAGTGTGTTGCAACACACATTCAGTTTCTTTATTTATTTGTGGTTTGCACATTTAATTTTTGTCATGTTTTACATATTCTGTATCTGGCAAAAGTGCCGACTTACTGTGATTGGTGCTGATGTCGAAACGGAGCTTGGAAGCCAATTACAATTATGTCTTTCATATAATTCCTTGATGGTTCTGATTTCTCTTCAGAAAGGAAAAAAACAGAAAGTGACATGAAACAAACTCTTTTCTTGCAAGGCTGAAGAAGCTGCACGGGATTCAAGGAGGAGTAAACAAGACCGATACGATGAAATGAGGAGGAAGAAGGATGAGGAGCGTGAGGCACAAGAGAGGCAATTGGTTAGGGATTCTATTTGCTGATAGTTCTGTTCTTTGATCATTGTTGTCATGTTTTCAGTTATAATTCTAACTAGCTAATGAATTGATCTATAGGAAGAAGAAGCTAGGGCACGGAAAGCAAAGGAGGAGGCTGCTGCTGCTTTAGAGTTTGAGAAATGGAAAGGGGCCTTTTCTGTTGATGCTGAAGGTACAACAGAGAGTGAGACGCAAGATGATGGTCAGGGTTTGCTCCACAACTTTGTGGAATACATCAAGGTTGTGAAGCAAGTGTCTTTACTAGTTTACTTGTGCTGTCATGACTATGCTTATTCTCAAATTTGACAACCAGAAAAATTATCTCCCCATGATGAACCATGATGTCCGCACAAATAGTTGGGGCTCTGTTTAGCCTCTAGTCTACACACAGATACCATTTCATCTCCTCTACATTTAAGTCTGTCAAATATCTTATGAGAAGTTGTCACAATGCATCTTTTTTATCAAGTATTTTAAGGATGCAGTATTGTTCTGCCATGTTCTAGAGTATACTTTTTGCCATTATCTATGTGGTATGATATGCTTTGATATGTAAACTGGTAACTGACAAACTTCGCTGTTACCTTTTCCTTCTCTAAACTTCAGAAGCAGAAGTGTGTTCCCCTAGAGGACCTAGCTGCAGAGTTCAGGATGCGAACCCAGGTACTTTAAAATTATGCGTAAGAGGTTCAAATGTTGTTATGAATAACAGAATTAACTTTCCATGCCCTATTATTTTTAAATAGAAATAGTGATAATGCCCATTAGATAGGTGTTGATAGCTTACAACTGATGCCCTGTTTACTACATTGCTAATTTGCTATTGCACTATTGAAGTGGTAATTTCCGAAGCACTATTATGTTTAAATAAATAGAAATAGTGTTAAATCCATTTGTTAAGTGTTGGTAGCTTACTACTGATACCCTGTTTTCTACATTGCTATTGCACTATTAAATTGGCAATTAAAGGATGGTCTTCTGTTTTGCAAACCCATTGCTGCGTGGTGTTTTCAACTGGCGAGCTGCCTCCATTTTGTCTTGGTCTGATAATTATTTAAAAAAAAAATCTTCTCCTGCCTTTTCAAGTTCATTAAACCTGTATGGAAGGTAAATTACTTGGGACAAATCTCAACATATATGCCTCATGCCATTCATAGAAATTGGGGCCCCACATAAGGCTCCTTTTGAGGAAGCCATGAAGCAATTACAAGGATAGCATTTTAGGATGACACACAAACAAGACCAGTGATATTTTTTCGAAGGATGACTGAGAGACAAAGCATTGTTATTTTTAGATTAAAAAACAACTCCACAATGCCGTCATTGGATGGGTTTAAACCACGCACACTGAGGCATTAAACATAGTTATGGTCTCCAAGCGGAATTTCCGGCTAATTTTATTTTTAATCTGAAGAAAAACATTTCTGAGCTAGTTAGCAGCGTTTGGAATTGTGAAATGATGATTTCCTGAACTTATCCTAGCCCATTGGAAAGAGGAAGAAAGGCGCTTCAGCTCCACCCACCGACTCCCGAGGTGCCACCGCAGCCCGGACGCTCCGCGCCGTGCCTCTGTTTCCTCTTTCGCACCTCCCTTTTCCTCCTCCGTTCTCCTCTGGTTCTCCCCCTCGGCCCTCCTGCCTCTGGCATCCCATCATCCATCGAGGCACCAGCACCAGCGACTCGAGCAGCTAGGCTAGGGGCACGCTGGCAGATCCGTGTTTGCAGCAGCCCGCCCGGCCGCACCTTCTGCCTACTGGACTACTGGCACTGGCCAGGTCGCCTGTCGGCCCTAGATCCCAGCCAGTGAAGGCCAAGGACAGAGCGCCCCGCGGTCCATGCAGCCCTGCCCCCTGCCCTCTGCTGGCCTGCTCGTCTGCTCGCGACTTGTCTGCTCCTGCTGGCTGGTGCCTGATGGCCTGCTCCACTACTCCTGCAGTCCTGCAATGCTGCCTAGTAGTTGCTGCACAGAGGAGTAGAGGACAGATGCATAGAGCCACAGACCAGATAGGACAGATCCACAGGGAATCATTGCGAGTAATCGAGTATCGATTTCTGATTTTTATTTCATTATTAAGGAGTTTTAAGCTGCTGCCATTCTGTTCAGTTTCCCCAATCTGTTCTATTGAGCTGACTTGTCCTCTTAATCTACTTATGATCATGTAAATTGACCTCTTTTACTAAAAATTACTTCATAGAATGAAATTATAGTATTATCTATTCATATCTATTGGTGTACCGTCTGTAATATTCTAGCCTACTATTATTTAGCCCCCCCTTTAACTCATTTCTGGATCCGCCACTGGTTTTGACAATCATACCGTTAGAAATAATCAGTAATCTCACAAATATTCTATTGATGTAAACTTGAATGACTATCAAGAACGTTATCCTTGTGGGGAACTCGGGATTGTTTGATCCATCTTATTCTTTGGGACCTATTTCCCTCTGTTTTGGGGTGCCATATTGATTGATCCATAATGTACTGGCATCAACTGTATTATTTTCCTTTTCTCTCATTACCTCACTATTTTGCAGGACTGTATCAATCGAATTGTCACTCTGGAAAGCATGGGTATGTGACTTCAGTTTGATTTTGTAAACTCGGCTGCCCTTCAATTGGTAACCATGAATAAGCCTTGATAGTTTATACTAACCAGATGATTCGTAGCTACATATCCTGGCACCTGTGAGAAATTTGTCTGCCGCCAAAGCCCTCAACAGTTTTTAGTTTTGATAAGCCTTTTTTGTTTTGCATGTAACAGATAGGTTATCTGGTGTGATGGATGACCGTGGGAAGTTCATCTACATCTCCACTGAAGAGATGAAGGCAGTTGCAGAGTACATCAGGAAACAAGGGAGAGTGAGCATATCACATCTGGCTAACAACTCAAACCAGTTTATCGATTTGGAGCCGAAGGCCCAGTACGAGGAGGAGAGCCAGCAAGATGACGGTGCAGCAGCAGGCACAGAACCATGAGAATTCCTTGGCCTGGCAGCATGTAGCATACTCTTGTGTTTCTGCGCTCAGGGATGTTCTGTAGTGACTTCTTAAGTTGCGCTAACATGGTTCGAGTTGGACACTGGCCATGTATACTTGTGCTGACATGCTAAATACCATCATACCATGTAGAACAGGGAACTTGAGGGTTGGAATTTGAGAGCGGACTACCGAAGAGAGATTTATTGCAATCCATCTGGATCTGATGTTTTCAAGCGCTAGTATGAAGAAAAAGAATCGAACTTTGGTGCTCTGCTCCTTGCATTCATTAGGTAATCATACGTCTTTAACATTTCCATGGCCATGCACCGAAACTGAAGATGGAAGTGGGCAGATAAGAAGATGATGGCGCACGGATCCATCCATGGAATTTGAAACTCACAGGGAGGACGGCATCAGTACCATTACTGCACGAGCCGCAGAGGATGTATGAATGTCGTAGCGATAGCACATTTAACTTTACCTAGCTGCAGGCTGCAGTGCATGCATAATTAGTTTTGTAGGAAGGAAGCCGGCCATGGCCAATGGTGTTCACATGGGGCGTGATTGGCTGCCATCGCTCGGCAGCCAGGCGCGCACGAGCCAGGTTCAGTTGTTATGACATCAAAATATATAGTTTTACTATAAAAACATATTTAATGATGAATCTATTGGTATATAAAATATTGCTATAATTTCGTATAAATTTAGTTAAACTTTAGATGTTTTGACTTATAAAATTAAAATTGTGAGAGGTAGGTATATAGTACATTATATATGGCACACGTTACTATTCTCTATGAAACCTTTTTTGTACGTACGTTACGTCACTTAGTTACATGATCGTTAGTCGTAATGTCGGATTCGTAAACCCGGGTCCCTCGCACACCGGTTTTCCAACAAAAGGCTTGGCCCAAGTAGACAGCAAGCAACTCATGGCCGGCCTAGGTATCTGAACAACAGGCCAGAAGGACGATCCATTCACCGACCGAAAAGTCTGGCCGAGTAGGAGCGGCACCCGTTTTCCGACTCCGGCCCACCTCTCCGACCGGAGCACTTGCTCCGACTCTAGCCGCCTCCGGACAGCCTCTCCGACCGGAAGGCCTAGCCAAAGCACTACTTTCGACTCCGACCCCACGTCTCCGACCGGGGTACGCAGAAGCCCTGCTCACCGCTCTTCTCCGACAGGCGCAACCAGAGCCGACTGGGACCAACCGACCGGGGACGCCCGCCCAGAAAGGACTAGGGAACGAACGGAGAAAGCAAGGCAAGGCGCTCAAGTCAAACCACGATACCAGGGACCGTATCCTGTACACCTGCAGGAATAGTGCTATGCAAACCGCCCTGACACGAACAGAGTTGTAGGCGCCGACATTTTACCTACAGTATTGTGGGCGCCATTAACTCTCATACGGTAAGCCTCCCCCCCACATGCCTCTGGGCATCGACAGTGTTGTGGGCGCCGGAATTTACCGTACCGAGTGAACATGGTGAAACTCCTCACATGCCTCTGGGCATCAACAGTATATGCAGGTACCGACATCTGCCATACCCGAAACAAGACGACATAACCCCCCACATGCATCCGACATCCAACAGTGTTGTGGGCGCCTACCATCATCCTGTACCTGTCGGCGTGGGCAACAAGGTTTAGAAGCATACGTACTCTCTCCCATTCATTTGTAAGGCCATACCCTTCATCTATAAAAGGGGATGCGCTCTCTCCCAACAAGGGTGATTCCAAGTTAACCCAGATCGATCAAGTTCACTAGCGCACAACCACAGAACCGCCAGGTTCAAACCTCAAGCACTCGCTTGAACACATAGCTTATAGCGGAGCCCCTGTCGCTCTCGTCCCTTCCGACCGGACCACTTGTACACCCCATCTTTCTCCTTTTCGTTTGTAACCCCACTGCAAACTTCGAGCACCTGAGCTCAAGAATAAAGTCACCGACCGACTCAAACTAGACGTAAGCCACGTTGCCTGAACCAATATAAACCCTGTGTCATTGAGTGCTATGCCACCTTCGATCACAACGTACGGCAAAACTATAAATATTTACTTGTTGGTCACTTTCTGCACCGACACATAACTTCATTTGGATTTGGACATTATTATTTACATATATTACCTGAGTTTTGCAGTCGTCTACCCATGCTTTATTACCGCGGTATCATTGATATGATGATTGATCTGGTGGTCCGGTAGTTTGGGATGATATCTGGTCCACGATGTTAGAAATTTAGGCATTTTCATTATCAGTTTAATCCAGAAAAATAACATCAGCAGGTTTGTGATGGCATACATGTGTATGTGTATTTCTCTAATGAACACTACAACATGCAGAGATGGCATACAGACGAATACAATAACAGCGAGTACAGTAATCACAGAGATTAGAATGTACCCCGCGGAGGGTCCCATGCCGAGGGCATTGGGGGCTCCATTCACACTAGTCGACATAGCGCGTTGCTTGAAGTCGCGGACCACAGTCGATGCAGGACGATGTACGCAGTGCAGTCCCACGAATGGATCACCAGAAAGAAGGCAGCTTGCGGTTCCGTAGGCAATCACCGGGAAGAAGACGGGATCGGCCACCAGGAAGAAGACGTACGTGGACGAGCAGTCGCGGATCGCTCCCCAAAAACCTAATCGCCGCGCACCCCGTGCAAGGTTCTCTGGCGGACGAGGGTTCCGGAGACACCTGCTCTCTCGCTACTCCTTGCGCGCAGAGGAACGAGATGGGGAAGACAGAGGGCTGCTGAATTGTGGATTCTCTCGGGAGCGGTTGCAGAAGACGAAGTCTGGACTGACGAAGGACTGCGGATATATGGCTGCGACAGGGGAAGGGACGAAGGCAGCGGAGAATACCAGGAGACGGGAAGCGGAAGGTACGGAGAAGGGAAGCAGAAGGGACGGTAACTGACGCAGTCAGTTCGCCTCCACCATCAAGGAGCGAAACTCCTGTGATAATGTGGATTTAAGTGGCAAAAGACTGGCCACGCCCGCCCGCGCCCACGGCCCGGCCCGGCCGGCGGCGGCGGCGGCGGCGCACGCGCGTGTGGCACGCCTTTACCCTTTTCTCAGCTTCTCAATTAAGATGAATAATTTCCAACCATATAAGCTGAGTCAACGTTCAGTCAGAATCCCGTATGGTATTAAACCATACAGCCCTTATTGTTACAAACCATAGAGTTTTATTTGATTTATTAAATATTATATAGGCTAAGCCCATAATATATCCAACAATCTCCACCAAACTCTAGGGTTTGTGACAAAGTAGTCTCAGAACCACATTTCTTTTATATACCAGTGTTTCGACAGAGACTGTTTAGTTGAACATCCATCTAGAACAATAGTTTCACTCAGTCACAACTGAACAATGGACTAAGCCTTGAATTGACAGTTTTGTGTGAGATGAATGTCACTAAAGTCCTTAGCTGATACTGGGCAGCAAAAGGCATCCCCTCAATTTGAAGCATATAAGTCATACTTCAGTGCCTTTCATGAGTATTTTGAGATCACCCAAATCTCATAGACTGTGACTAGCAGTCTGACTCATATAGGTGTGTTCCTCAAAAGATGTTCCGTAGGACAACATCTTTGCTTTACTAAGCCACTTGGAACACATTAAGGCAAAAGCCAGCCTGCCTTATAGAAAGGAAAGATATGCATAAAAAATGAGTCTTACTAAGGATCTTTCCTCACAATTTACTACTAGCTTGTTTCACCGTCCTACTTCACGGGATCTCCGATCACATAGAACAGGTTACCACTATAGTAAATTTCAAGTGGGTCTCAAACCCATCTCTCTCGATGCACTTTCTATCACATTGCGTGACAGACCCTTAGTGAACTGATCTGTCAGATTGTTAGACGTGCGGACATAGTCCAACGCTATTACTCCGGAGTTTCTCAATTTTCTGACATGATTTTAGTCGTCTCTTAACATGCCTTGTGGACTTCATGTTGTCCTTAGAACTGTTAACCTTTGTAATCACAATCTGGTTATCGCAGTTCATAGAAATAGCCGGTATGGGTTTTTCAACAACCGGTAAATCCATAAGGAGATCACGAAGCCACTCAGCCTCAGATCCAGCAGTGTCGAATGCTATGAGTTCTGCTTCCATTGTAGACTTCGTTAAGATAGTCTGCTTGCAAAACTTCTAGGAAATAGCGCCCCATCCAAGCGAAAACACATATCCACTTGTGGCATAAAGCTCATCAGCATCAGAAATCCAGTTGGCATCACAGTAGCCTTCCAGCACTTTTGGATGTCCGGTATAACAAATACCATAGCTCATGGTCCCTTTTAGGTAGCGCATCACTCTCTCAAGAGCACGCCAGTGATCATCTCCCGGGTTTGACACAAATCGGCCCAGCTTGCACACAACAAATGAGATGTCAGGCCTTGTTGCACTAGTAAGATACATGAGCGAACCAATGATCTGTGAATATCTCAACTGATCCCTTGCTATTCTCCGATTTTTTCTCAATATCACACTAGGGTCATAAGGTGTAGGAGCAGGTGCACAGTCACTGAACCCAAAACGACTTAGCACCTTTTCCACATAGTGGGTTTGTAACAGAGTTACCCCACCATCACCTTCTCTTAGAAGCTTGATATTAAGAATAACATCAGCCTCTCCCAAATCTTTCATCTCAAAATTTTTAGATAGAAATTCCTTCACCTCCTCGATCACTTTGAGGTTGGATCCAAGGATCAGTATGTCATCAACATATAAGCACAAAATGACTCCTTCACCCCCACCATACCGATAGTACACACATTTGTCAGCTTCATTCACAACAAAGCCAGCAGATGTTAAAGTTCTGTCGAACTTCTCATGCCACTGCTTAGGAGCTTGTTTTAGGCCATATAATGACTTTAATAATTTACACACCTTGCCTTCTTGACCATTTGCTACAAACCCATCAGGTTGATCCATATAGATCTCCTCCCCCAACTCTCCATTTAGGAAAGCTGTCTTAACATCCA